GAGTTCTAGACATCATACATTCAGAGTTATGGATTGCAGAAATGCCTACCCGTCAAAAACGTGAAATTTCCTTAAATCCAATATGGCGGCCAAACGGTGCCTCGTAGCCCCTTGGATCCTGCAGTTGAAATTGAAGGTAATCGGATTCCAGACCTGCTCCAGAAATTTGGTAGTTATCGGACTTGTAGTTTCGGAGATTATTGCTTTGGAAATTGAAAATTTTGAATTAATTTTGAATTATCTCTCCTTTGCTATTGGGCCTAGAGCCTTGAGATTTTTGCACAAACGACTTCAGCACTGTCGGTACAATGGTAATTTTTTTTCAAGCGATTCTGTCCAGCGGTGCTTTTTGTAGGGCTGGTACAAAATACGGCGGAATAAGAAATAATAATAAAAACATTAACGATTACAATAGGTCTCCTGCCTAAAGGCAAAGGAGCCCTAATAATAATAAAAAACACGAACGATTACAATAGGTCTCCTGCCTAAAGGCAAAGGAGCCCTAAATATAATAACAGAATTAAACTTCATCAAGTTCACTCCATTCTTCCAGAGAGGAGTCATCAGTGTCCAGACGAATGACAACTGGATTAAGTGTTTGCTCCTTCAAGCCATCTTTGAGCCAGTACTCTTTCTCCACCTTCTTGACATGTTCAACACATGCATGCCAGCGTGCAATGTCAATGTCACATACAGCCGTGTTGACAATGTGCTTGACATCATTCAACTTGAATGATTGATTTTTCCGGGCCACTGTACTTTTAAGGTCTCCCCAGATAAGTTCGATTGGGTTGAGATCATAGTGGTACGGTGGTAAACTCAAGACCTTATGGCCGTGTTGGCTTAGCATGTTGTCAATGTTATATGTGGGTGGAGGTTTGTTAGGTTTAATCAAAGAGTATAACTGTGGTTTAGTGGCCTTAATTGAAAATTGTATATCGTTATTTGTTAGCCATTGCTGCATATCTGACTTCTTTGTATTGGAAGTTGGGCACCTATTGTTTGGATCTCAAACACTGTGATAGGGAGCATTGTCCATGACAACAAGACTTTTGTAAGGCAGAGCTGGCAACAATTGTTCCTCAACATACTGTGTGAAAATCGAGTTCATTTCTGTATGAAAGTGAGTTGTGATTGGTACGCTCAACTTCCCAGCGTAGACACCTGATTGGATAAAAATCCATCGGGCCGAGCGGTAGATGCATCCAGGGTATAGTGGAGAGTCATCGTAATGTATACCCTGGAAATTATTGAGCATGCAAGGTGGACTGCTCAGCAGTGTCCGCTATGTTGAACTCCACAAAATAGTTAGTGACTCGGTCCCACAGGAAAAACTCAATAAATCAACAAGATTACGCTCCCACAGGACATAACAGTATCAAACAATATCATCAAAACCCCTCAGAATCTGAAGAGGAAGTAAATATTCTCGCATATAACATCATTTACGTGAGCCACAGAGATGTGTGTCTGTACCTGACGCTGTCGGAGCAAGCCCTGATGTCTGCATGTGCATCACGTTATCTCATGGGACCGACTTATCACGTCACTGGATTGACAGAATATTATCTTAACACGTTCATCAATCATGGGTCTGGAATCTGGGTGATGGTACACCGAAATCCGAACACTAACAATCAAAGGTGACTGATACGCGTACGGAGTGTTCGCAGAAGTAGGTGGGATCACCGAATGAGTCGAAGTCTGATATCTGGGGAAAAACGGAGAGATCACCAATGCATGAGGGATCGTCGAATCAAAAGAAATAGTATATTTGTATACTGTCCAAGGTGATGCCACTCACTTCTACTATCTCTAGTTATTAAAGGTGTCAGAGAGAATCCGTACGAAAGAAATATAAGTACTATGTAATACGAAAAATGGTGAAAAAGAATTATCAAGTTGATTCAGCTTTACGTGATTGAAATGCGGATGTCTCTATATGGTTTCTCTGTGAATACACTTTGTGGCAGTACAGCACACCAAACTTTATTGAATAACCACCGTAAAGTGTTCATTGTGTAAATTAGAGTTCGACATGAAATTGTTCACCATGATGTTCTTAAATTGTTCACTAACAATTTGATGGTGTCTATCTTTTCGAGGATGAAAGCTCGAAAACGGTATAATACTAAGCATTCAAATTTGGCACAAAGATAGTTTGATAATTACTCTTAATCTTGGTATATTTTGTTTTTCATATACTGTAAACCGGAAATATTCTGTGCCTTGAAAATTTTGCGTCAGCATACCCCAAGCCTGTTCTGTGATGTATTATTTTTGCGAGAGTAGTAGGCTTTGCCAAAACAACATTGTTAGCTAAAACTACATTGCTTCGTACATCAAAGGTATACAGGTTTCAGGGATACAGGATGACAGGTTTCTTATTAATCCCTTTGATCTCAACAGTATCAACTCAGTTCTAAATTGTTTTTGCTGAGCACTGTATTATTTGCAGGAATTAAGATTACAGTGTGTATTTGTCTCGTATATAGAGCCGGAAATAGCAATCAGCTGTGCACACATTTCCCGGCGATCTAGTTAAAACATGCACAATAATATAACAGATGAATTCTGACACAGTGATCAGTAAAATATAATAAATGAAACTATTATTTAACCCAAAGAAATATATCCTAGCATTGTGTAATTTTAATTACAGGTTTTGCTTTATAAATGTAAAATATATATAATCAACACTAAGGTTATACGGAAACTCATGAACGTGGTAAGCAGAAGTTGTACGCGCATGGATGAGGTGAAATAAGCATGACATTTAAATGCACACACATTTTTTACAGATGCTACTGTAAACTAGCAGTCCATGGAAAACGAGATGGTAATCAGTTCGTGATTGTTGATAATATGATGGGAAATTGGCTATCGCGGTTGGAGCGAAAAACGTACCCTCACGAACGAGGTTAGCAGAAGTTGTACGCACGTAATATACATCTATTTTGTTATTATTGTGTGTGGAATTTGTCTGTTTATTTTCATGAATAAGATGTCTAAGATATTTTTTATGTAAATATACCTTTTTTAATATTACTACGCCGAGAATTTTTTGCGTGGGGAAGAGAAACACAAAATTTCCAAAATATACTGACGCAGAATATTTCAGGTTTACAGTATACAGCAATTATGCCTTAAACTTTGAGATGTTTATGCATCTTTACGGAAACGTAGCCAAAGCTCGACAGTGTTCTGCAGGCTCATGGGCTTGTATAATGACGGAATGGAAAGGTATTTGGTATGATTACGCACATGTGTCTTCTATTTTACAGCATGAATTTTGGGGACAATGTGACCTATACAAATATAGATATTGACAATTTTCCTACACCTAAAAAATAAAACCTGCTCACCCCTCATGTGATAAATCATTCACTTCCATGCTTTGAAATATTTCCTGCTTTTCACCACTCCTACAGTGTGCAGTGGTGCAGTGATTGGTGACTCACTGGAGGCGTCCACAGGAGGAAAAATAATCTCAAATCATACTACAGTAGAACACGGATATAACAAACTCCAAGGGACCACGAAATTTAGTTCGCTATATCCGATGTTCGTTATTCACATTTGACCGCCATCTTGGATTGTAGAGATGTAGAGACACCGGCGGGGCCAAAATCAGTTGACACAGATTTTGCAAGAATCGATTCGCGATTCTTAATAATGGAACTGAGAGTGGATTTTGGAATGCCAAAGTCGAAAGCGATGTTGGTTTAGATTTTACACCTGAATCTACAGCCTGAATTATCTGAAGCTTGGTGTCAAAAGTGATGGCTTTACGTTTGCCTGCCATAGTGACGAGAGTGAACAAAGACCGGTATACCAGTCAAGCTTTTAAGACGACATGTTTGTTTTGTTAAACACGTTAATGACCATCGAACAATGTTGATTCGCCGCCAACAAGGTTGATGTATACCGCTAAGTGGCTGAGCTGACACTGAGCTGACACTGAGTGAGTTCGCTAATCACGTCGTTAGTTGGGCTTGGGGGTAGTAAATCAGTTCGCTAAAGCCGTTAATTCGCTACTCACGAGTTCGTTATTCGCGTATAATTTTAATGATATTATAAAGGACTGTTGACGGGACTTTTAAATTTGTTCGCTATATCCGTTTGTACGCTATATCCGTGTTCTACTGTACCTTCGATCTCTGCTCCATCTAAAGTAGAGCCTGATCTACTATAGCATGTTGTCGCCTAACATGGCACATAGGCTGCACCTGATCTTGCTCTTCAATTCTCCAAACGCAAAGGACCAAAGCATTCTAAACAGGATGCATGTAGATTTGAGATGGAGGAGGTCTGCTTGCAACCCACGCGAACTACTATCCCTTGACATAGAATCTTCTTTCCCAAGACATTAAAGGCTATACGAGTCAGTTTATTAGCCACAGTTACAGCACAGCTGCACCCTAGTGCAACAAGAAAGAGATGACAAGAGAGGTGAGGGCCCTGCATGCTTTCCAGGGACTGCTGAGGTGTCCAGGAATGGGACTGGGAGTGGTGGGGAGTGATCTAGAGAGGCCAGAAAACTTTGTTCAACCCTGCTTACAGCACATTTCCACTCCATGGTCAAAGTAAGAGAGAGAAGTGCATATCGTGAGATAGGATAAGTTTTAAAAATTGGTGCTATATGTTACACATACATGAATAATAATATGAGTGATCGTGAAAATGTGATATAAATTATGATAACACGTGAAAAAACAATGAGCAACAAAAGAATGAAAATCTGCTAAGTTTTAAGTGCACAAATTTACAAGTCAAAGTAAACTAAAACAAATCTGTAATTAGCATAAGTTACTAGACCCTCTGGTCTTGATAATGTTAAGACATTCACCAGAAATGGACACCAGAGCCACAACTAGCATTTTCAGTTATACAATTGTGTTCATTTAAGGAAATATAAACGTGTGTTATTCTAGTAGCATGTGAGCATATTGGTACATTATCTTTCCAAAACATTCAAATTCTAGTACAGCTGTACTCACCATGGTGAAGATTTGTAGCTGCAGTATTTCCTGAAGTTTCACCCGATGAAAGACAAAAACATCATATGTTGCACAGACACCAAGAACAGCAATGGCTTGTTCTTTTGTCAATAGACTTGCCACAGCGAATACACAAACACTAACCACATACATCCAACGATGGGAAGCTAGTTGGGCGGAAGTCCGGTACTCCACATACTTCATGTAACTCAGGAATGTAAGAAGAAAGAAGAGACAGGCACCAATGTCAGCCCGACCAACAATGCCAGCAACAGCTTCTGTGTGTATGGGGTGTGCTGCAAATAACAGTCCTGCTACATAGGTGGCAAATGTACGCTTCAGCACCTTTTGTGCTAGACAGGTGAACACTGCTGTGACCACTGCATGCAGCAGAACATTACCCAAGTGGTAGCCCCAGGGATTCAGTTTCCCAAAGGCATAGTTGAATCTGAACGACAGGACACAGAGTGGTCGGTAGGACTTGTGTGAGCCACTATGTGTGAGGGGTGTCCCCCAGAAGTCATCATAGAAGATATTCACCAGTGGTGTTTCTGGTAACAAGTCCTGATTCTTCTGGATTGCCCGGCTGAAACACACAAGTTTATATTTAATAAGTACCCATTCATATTTTCTGCACAACATATACAATGCAAAAGGAGTATACAGTCAGGCCGCGTTAGTCCAGACCCAGATAATCCGAATCCCGAGCCTTCCGAACGGTAGCTAGCTGTAACCAATCTTGTTTACTATGTAAACTCATAAACTGTTGATTCATTAATCTGGTGCTTCACTCTCTGGATCCGGACATTAATTAGCGGTAACACATTAACTAATTACACTTGGTTTTGCTTCATTAATCCGGCGGTACATCAAGAAGGTTCGGATAATCCCCTTACCTCGTGAGCACCACTGATTAGCACTGATCTTCATCGGTTAAACAGTTTTAATTGTTACACGAATAGTGTATCCAGACATTATTGTATGCATTGATTGATTGATTGTTATAATAATAGCCAAGTTGTTATGTATACAAACTGTAATAAAGTCATTTGATACATGTACATGTATATGTTCTTGTCTCGGTATGTCAAAGGGAAGTAACTCTACTGTAGTGGTGTACATAATGGTTTGTTTCAGTAGTCTGTACGCTTCACTATCCGAACGCTTTTGATGAAAAACGGAAGTGTTCAGATTACCGCGGCCTGACTGTAATTCATTTGGATAGTCCCTGAAAAGCTGCACATGTACTATTACAAAACCATAATGCCACGTATGCCAAAATTAGATACACAAACTTCTTTCAACATAGATTGTAATGTAATTTTTTAAGTAAAATTGATATTTTTATACTTATCCTGACTCATGATCTTTTGCTTATCTCCCTTTCGAATGGTAGTGGAACACTTGAATCCCTTGAAGTTCCCGAAGCAGACGTATAAATACACTCACCCACGAAGTTACCTCCCTTTGCCCTTTCCCGCGCAAACCAGTCAGGTGACCTGCCTTACTTGTCACTCTCTCCTGATTTTCTGCCCATGCACTTAGATCTGCTGTGAAATCTCAAGTGTCTTCAACGGGGAGGTTGGGAGGGCTTCTCGTCATGAGTCAGGATAAGTATAAAAATATCAATTTTACTTAAAATATTACATATTTTTACTTATCCTGACTCATGATCTTTTGCTTATAGAATCCAACAGATTGGTGGTGGGTCAAGCCACTTTGTGGATTCAACAGCTGTCCTTAGATATGTCCTGTATCCCCCCCATGGGAACTGCAAAACGGCATTTCCGTGATCCTATTCTTCCAACTTCCGTTATAACTCGGGGGGACCACTTTCTTGTCTTACTTCAATCTCAGACAAGTTGAATCATGTTGATTCATGTGGCTATAGAAAAACTAGTATCTTCCTATTACTAGATATCCCATAGATTATGATAAGATCTTTATCATAAATCAGTTGCGACCCCTTCACGTACAGGTAAGATCTTTACCCGCACAGGATCTTTAATCACTCATGCTAGCCTGTGCTAGACTGTGCGCATGGACTTTCAAACTAGTTCTTTTCCTTAGTAAAAGTTATCAACAAGTCAACGTGATAAAGGGTGAGATTTTCCAACTCAGCGCCTTTGAGGAACCGTTAGTTGCTGTGCTACAACAAGAAGCCCAAATTGGTGAATGCCTGAGACGTCTTCAGTGGCTATGTCTCGGAGGTAGTGGTTGGCAAACACTGTGTCTGACTTCCAAAAGCAGCCCTCCATAATTGTTGGTATAGAGCAATTTCCATGCAGAGCTAGTGTTGACGCCAGTGCTCTGATTTCGTGTGGGTTGGAAGCTCTAGGAGGTTCTAGTCCTGCTGCTTTATAGGCTCTCAATATTACGGCTCTCATCCAGAACGATATGGTCGTTCTTGAGACTTCTGTTGAAGTCTCTGTTGATAATGGGATGGCAGGCGCTTGAATTTTTGTCTCCTTGTCTCAGTTTTTTGAAGATATATCTTCAGGGCTCTGACCGGACTCAAGGATAAGTCCTCTATATCCTGTGGACCAAGGATTGTAGACAGCGCTGGTACATGGAACTGTCTATCTGGTTGACCGGGTAGCTGGTTGTTGGCAATAAAGTCCCATCTAAGTCCGAGATGTTGCCCTCTGTCGAATCTGGTTCGACCAAAGTCCAGCGCATGTATCTCCGATATTCGAGCTGCCGTGGCTAAAGCAAGCAGGAACAGAGTCTGCTGTGTTAGCAGCTTGAGTGTAATCTGGTCTAGTGGTTCGTAGACATCACTGGTAAGACGACATAGAATTACATTTAGATCCCAGGCTGGAGCTCTGAATTTCTTTTGCTGGTCCTACAGCTTAAAAGATCTCAGCAGAGCAAGTAATTCTGGTACTTTCGTCAACTTGATGCCTGTTTTCATGGTAATCACTGTACTGATAGCAGCGAGGTAAGTAGATAATGTCGAACCCTTCAGATGTCTGGTCTGTCTAAGATGACACAGATATTCCGCCAACTTGAGGATGAGTGGCTATCATCGCAGTGAAGCCTTTCCGCCTTGCATAAGTCTCAAACTTTAGCCATTTGTCGTCATATAGGTTACGAGTCGATCTGCGTAACGCTAGCGTTACTGCTTTGGCTGCCCTGGCGGAGTATCCTCTTTTCTTCAAACATATTTTGATACGGTCCACACGTGTAACTGGAATACTGTCGGGTTTCCGTGGACTTGCTTGGTGTGCGGATGTATTAGTAGGTTCGACCAATCTGGTAATTTGATTACTGGGTTTCCGAGATCTTCTATTAGGTCAGGGAACCATGCTCTCGCTGGCCAGTAGGGCGCGACCAAAGTCAGTTGTAGCATCTGAGTCTGTTTGATCTTGAACAGTACTTTTGGTAGTAGTATCGGGGGTGGAAAAGCGTAGGCGTTTTATCCTTCCCACGACATGCTCAGTGCATCTGTTGCCCAAGCTTGAGGATCTGGAACTGGCGAGACAAACATCTGTAGTTGTTTGTTGAACCTCGTGGCAAACAGGTCTATGCAAGGGGATCCTATTCCCCTTATGTTCCGAAACGCTTCTGGATGGAGCATCCATTCCGTAGGTGACGGGTGTATTGGTCTTGAGAGAGTGTCTGCCAGTACGTTCTTGGCTCCGGGTATGTGACACGCCTTTATCCAGATGTTTGCTTCCTGTGTGATCTGGAACAACTGGAATGTGAGCTGCAATAGGCTTGGAGACCTTGTGGATCCTTGCCGGTTTATGGAGAATGCCACTGTAGAGTTGTCCGTGTGGATCATCAGCATTTTGTTGTTCAGCAAGCTCGACCATAGTTGTAAGGCGTTGATCACTGCTTTCATCTCTAGCAGATTGATGTGAAGCTGCTGTTCTATTTTGGACCACTTTCCTGACACCACTTGATCGTTGAGATGCGCACCCCATCCCTGCGTCTGCGTAGAGATGTGTGTCGAAGGCCGGCTCTTGTAAATAGGTCCCTTCGCAAACGTTCGACCTGTGTTTCCACCACAGTAGATACCTCTTGAGGTTTTCCAGCAGCAAGATAGGGTCGACGCTGTCTAGATGTTTTATCAGGAACCGTTGCAGCGGTCTTAGTTGTAACCTTCCTGTGCGAGTCAAGTCTTGCGCCGAGGTTAGCAGACCGAGTAGAACTTGCCATGATCGTAGTGTTAACGGAGAGACGACTGCTGGCGGAATCATGGCTTGTATCTTGCCCCAACGATCCTCTGGGACGGCAATACGATTCTGTGTTGTGATAAACCTTATCCTCAGAAATTGTAGATCTTGTTTTGGTTCCAACTCTGACTCCATAAGGTTCACCAACCATCCTAGTTGAGTGAGCAACTTGATTGTGAAGTTCAGTTGTAGTTTGAGTAGACTGGCATCTTGGTGAACCTGAATTCCGTCGTCCAAGTAGAAGGCACTGCGTAGACCTCGATGATGTAGGTATGCGACTATAGGCTGGGTGATTCGTGTGAATAGCCGAAGATATTCCAAACGGTAGGACGTTCCATTGGAAGTGCTGCCCTCTGAATAGGAATCGTAGATACTTTCTTGATTCCTGATGTATCGGGATGTGAAGGTACACATTCTGCAAGTCTATGCTGGCCATGTAATCTGCTGGACGGATGAGTAGTTTGAGTTGAAGTAGGTGGATCATTCTGAACCTCTCTGGTTTTAGTAAGTAGTCTTTGTTGAATTTGCGCATGTTGTAAATCAGTCTGAACTTCTCCTTGGAGTTCTTCTTGGGTACTAGAAAAATTGGGGAATAGAAGCCGGGGAGTGAGATGATTCTGATCTATTATCTCTACAGCATCTTTCATCAGTAGTGCGTTGATGGCTTCTTGTAATTTGTCTGCCTGTTCCTCTGCATAGTTGAAGACCATCGGGCTGAGGGTTAGTGGAGGTGTGGCTCTTAGTTGTATTTTGTATCCTTCTCTTAGTACTTGACAGACGTAGTTGTCCTCTAGTATTCCCCAATTCTTCCAGTACCCTTGTAGAGGTCCACCCACTGTCGATAGTTTTACAGGAACGACTGGGGGTGGAAGACTCCAGTCGTTCCGAACCTTGATATCAACGTCTAGTGCCTCTGGAACCTCTGGGGCCGCGGCCTCTCCCTGAGTTTCCTCTGTAAGTTCTGGATGGGCAACGAAAAGATCCTTTGCCGCCTCTGAAGCTAGAGTACTTCTTGTCCTTTGCCTTCTGTATTCCCGGAATATTTGGACTTGTTGTTATACTTTTGAAACGTATGACGGATGACGTTGGCCAGAGTATCTATGGTTTTAATCATCATAACTTCTCTGGTATCATGCGTAGCTTCCTTAGCTGCATCATCTATTAGTCCTCCAAATATAGTAGGCGCCTCCCATGGAGCTCTTAGTAGCGGTTGGGTGAATCTATCATTCCAAGAGCAGGAAGCCAGCAGCCCCTGTCTGCGTAGTAAGGTGAGTCCCGCAGATATAGATGTGATATGGTCCGACAAAAAGTATTGATCCTTCTTTTGTATAATGAGGGTTGAGTATATCATCTTATCCTCTTCCAAAGTTGAATTCTGGATTTATTTATCAATGCTTCATTGATG